CCCATAACTGGAAAACTACAGCTCAAAGAGGACATAATTTTCCCCCATCATTATTTAAAGAAATTTTAAAAAATAATATATAAAATCCAGAAATTTTAAAAAATAATATATAAAATTCAGAAAATAATATATAAAACCCAGAATGGGTGAGAGCGTAGGGAAACATTCTCATCCCTTTTTGGATAAGGTGTGAATGTATCACTTTTCTGGAGATAATTCACAAATTTTTTGTTTTGAGTTGAAGTCTCATTCTGTTTCCCAGGCTGGAATGCAGTGGCATGCTCATGGCCACCCCAGCATTGACCTGCTGGGCTCAAATGATCCTTCCGCCTCAGCCTTCCAAATAGCTGGAACTACAGGTACACACTACCACACCCAGCTAATTTTTTGATTTATTGTAAAGATGAGGTCTCGTCAAGTTGCCCAGGTTGTTCTCGAACCTGTGGGCTCAGGCAATTCCCTCACCTTGGCCTCCCAAAGTGCTGGGATTACAGGCTTGAGCTACCGTCCCCGGCCAGAGGTAATGCTTATCAGAATTTTGTTTCATTTTATTTTGAGTCATAGTCTGATGCTGCCACCCACGCTCAAATTCCTGGGCTCAGGAGATCCTTCAGCTTCCTGAGTAGCTGTGACTACAGGCATGTACCACCACACCTAGCTTATTATTACTATTATTATTTTTGTAAAGATGAGGTCTTACTATGTTGCCCAGGCTGGTCTTGAACTCCTGGAATCAAGCAATCCTCCCACCTCAGCCTCCCAAAGTGCTGGGATTACACACATGAGCCACTACACCCAGCCATTATCAGAATTTTAAAATGTCTATACTTTGACCCAGCATCTCCACTGTCAAGAATTTATCCTATGAACCTACTCACACAGGTACACAGTGTTCACGTTCACTGAAGCATGTCCATCAAAAAAGGTCTGGTTAAATAAACTGGAGTACATCTATCCAATCAAGTACTCTGCAGCCTTATTTTTTCTAGAGGTAGACATGCAAGTGAGAATATGAATAACTGTCCAACATATATAGCTAAGTAACAAAATGCAAACTAGAAGACAATGTGAATATTGTTCCATTTGTGCTAAAATATTTATGTTGGTATACATAAATATGTATGTTTAGATATTTCTGAAAGGATATTATCCTCTGATAAGACCATAAGGCAACTTTTAAAAATAACCCAATAGATGTCCACATCCGCATTCAGCTCCTTACCGTGTTTCCTCTTGGAAGCTTTTCCCTCAGGATTGTAACCTGGTGGGTAAACAAGCTCCTTAAACTCATCTACCAGGGAGCCCAGTCTTTTATCCATTGCTTCAAGCTTGGGCACTAGAAAATCAAAACACAGAAGAGTCATCTGGTGAGTCACGAGCCTTGGCTTGCTATTCAGTCTAACTCTACAGGAACCAGAGGAGAGCTGCTGGGCGGGAGGGGTCTACAGAAAGTACCTTCTAACACTTCCATTTACTGTTGTCACCCTTACTACAGCCAGGCACTGTTCTAAATGCTTTAAACTTATTCTTTTTATTGAGTCTTCTAACAACTTTTAGGATAAGTAAATTTGTCCCCGGTTTTATAGGAAGAAAGCAGAGGTTAAATGACTTGCCCGAGGTCAAACAGCTGGGAAGTAAGAGTGGAGATAATGGGCTAGATTCTGGAAATTCAAATAAGGGTCCGTGCCCACAGTGGGCTTACAGTCTAGTCAGAGTAAGAAGGTGGTTCGCAGCCCTGGAAATAAAGAGAGGAGCTGTGGACTAAGGGTTGTTTTGTATTTTTGAAACGGGGTCCTGTTCTGTTGCCCAAACTGGGATGCTTTGGCACAATCACGGCTCATTGCAGCCTCTAACTCCTGGTTTCAGGTGATCCTCCTGCCTCAGCCTCCCAAACACCTGGGACTAGAGGCATGCCCAGCTAATTTTTTGATTTTTTTGTAGAGACAAATTCTTGCTATGTTGACCAGGATAGTCTCAAACTCCTGGGCTCAAGCAACCCTCCCATCTCCCAAAGTGCTAGATTACAGGCATGAGCCACCATGCCTGCTCTGTTATGATCTTTTTAATCTCTATCAAGAATATGCATTAAATCTAATATGTTTGCGAGCGGGTATTTCCTTACTTTACTAACTTCTTGTGTCCTCTTTTAAAATACGTATGAGAATCACAACCAGGTAAAGACTAGCAGCAAGGTCAGAGAAGCCCAGACTGGGAGGCCAGGCAAAACTCCTTGATGCTGAATAACAGGGTGGCTTTTCTCAGGACACAGCATGCAGAGTCTGACAGAGAGGCAGTAAGCCCAGTGGTTAAGAGCAAGGGCTCTGGGTGGGATTCATTGTATCCTTTTTTTTTTTTTTTTAGTCGGATTCTCACTCTGTCACCCAGGCTGGAGTGCAATGGCATGCTCACAGCCACCGCAGTCATTACCTGCTAGGCTCAGGCTATCCTTCCACCTCAGCCTTCTAAGTAGCTGGAACCACAGGTTCACATGCCACCATGCCCGGCTAATTTGTAGAGATGAGGTCTCGCCAAGTTGCCCAGGTTGGTTTCGAACCCCTGGGTTAGGCAATCCTCTTGCCTCGGTATCCCAAAGTGCTGGGATTACAGGAATAAGCCACCGTGTCCAGCCGGATTCACTGTATTCTAAACCTAGATCTACCACTTACTACTTAGTACCTTGGGAAAATCACTTCCTTCTCTAAAAGTGAGACAATTACTGCTCCTCCCTCACGGTTACAAGCATGAAATGAGTCAACACAAAGTTGACAATGACTGGAAGTCAGTAAGCACTATATAAATGTTATATATTATTTCTTTAACTTACACCAACATGTAGTCATGTGGTGGCCTAGTTCAAAGGCAGGTCTCAGAAACCTGGCACTCTCTCCTGTCACTGCAGAACCAACCAAATCTGTTCCCCAGCTGTATCAGCTGGTCTAGAAAAATCTCTCAGAAATGGTCTAATCAATGAAGTTGAGGAGAAAGTACAAGGAAACATATGCACTATTACTGGCTCAGAACAAAATCAGTAAAAAAGCCCCCCAAGAACGCTTCTTACGTGTCAGATCTACTGCTTGTTCAGGCTCCATCAAATCCAAGGCCAATGCCTCCAAGTTCCTGAAGTATTGCTGCAACACTGGGTTCTCAAAGTTGTCACTTCTGTTAAAAAAAAAAAAAGGTAATAACATAACTAAATTAAAACATAAACACTTAAAAAATAAAATAAATCCAGCTGAGACGGCATAAGTCCAAGGTCAGCTGAAAAAATATCCCAAGTAGCCAGGCACAGATAATGTGGTTCAGAAACAAGTAATGAATGCAAGAATAAAAATTTTATAGGGCTCCTTCAACTTGGAGGAGTTCAGACTACTATTGCATTTTAGTAGCACAAATTAAATTGTAGTGTTAACTTTTTAATTTATGAAAGTCTCTAAAATATAAAATTATTTGTGATCCCATGGTCCTTTCAGGCTTCTAAAAATGAATATACATTCAGTGTGTTATAGGAGTTTAGATTAATTGATTTGTTTTCCATATAAATCAGGTTCAATGGGAAAAATGGTCAAACAGACTTGTTCAGTTTATTTATAGGTCTGCTGCTTTGTGTAGGACAAATCCACATTATAATCATGCTAATCCGCTCTTTGGATGACATAATTTTCCAGAGATAGCAATATGGCTTTTTTTTTTTTGAGTTGGAGTCTCACTCTGTCACCCAGACTGGAGTGCAGTGGCTGCTCCCGGTCACCGCAGCCTCGCCAGCTGGGCGCCAGCGATCCTTCCACCTCAGCCTTCCCAGTAGCCGGAATTACAGGCATGCGCTACCAAGCCCGGCTGATTTTTTTTTTGAGTTGGAGTCTCACTCTGTCGCCCAGACTGGAGTGCAGTGGCCGCTCCTGGTTACCCCAGCCTCAACCTGCTGGGCGCCGGCGATCCTTCTGCCTCAGCCTTTCTAGTAGCTGGAACCTGGAACTATTATTCTCAGCCAGGCTCCGTGACTCAGCCTGTAATCCCAGCGCTTTGGGAGGCTTAGGTGAGTGGATTGCTTGAGCCCACGGGTTCGAGACCCGCCCAGGCAACTTGGCAAGACCTCATCTCCACAATAAATCAAAAAAATTAGCCGGGTGTGGTAGCACATGCCTGTAGTTCCAGTTACTCGGAAGGCTGAGGCAGAAGGATCGCCGGAGCCCAACAGGCAGAGGCTGCGGTGGCCGAGAGCAATCACTGCACTCCAGTCTGGGCGGCAGAGAGAGACTCCAACTCAAAAAAAAAAAAAAAATTCTATTCTCTAGCCAATTAAAGATTTTGCAATACCAAGTGATTCTTTGTCCTGTAGTTTAGTCTTGTTGAATGTGACACAGGTTTTTAACTTTCCTGTCCCGCATCTAATTTCATTTCTAAAATATTCTCAGTGTTCACTGTGTTGAAAAAAAGCAGATTTAAATTTCTTGAGCAAGACAATGGTATTATAGTCTAACAAAGCCTATTTTATAATAAAATTGACAAATGCAATTTGTTGACTACTGTACTAAAAGTGAAAAACAGAATGGTGTGTGCATATGATTTCTGAGTGTGTATTGCTTTTGCACCATCACAAAGCCAAAAAATCCTAAGTTAAATAACAATAAGATGGAGACGATCTGTACTAGGTTTCCAAGGCTTAAAAAGTATAGAGAGGCTGGGCTTGGTGGCTCAGCCTATAATCCCTGCATTTTGGGAGGCTGAGGCAAGTGGATTGCCTGAGCCCGCAGGTTCGAGACCAGTCCAGACAACTTGGCAAGACCTGGTATCTACAATAAATCAAAAAATTAGCTGGACATGGTAGCACACGCCTGTAGTTCTGGCTACTTAGAAGGCTGAGATGGAAGAATCGCTGGAGCCCAGCAGGTCAACACTGGGGTGGCCGTGAGTGTGCCACTGCCCTCCAGTCTGGGTGACAGAGCGAGACTCCAACTCAAAAAAAAAAACAAAAAACCAAAAACCGTGCTTGGTAGCTCAGCCTATAATCCCGCACCTTTGGGAGGCTGAGGTGAGTAGATTGCCTGAGTCTGTGGGTTCGAGACCCGCCTGGGCAACTTGGCGAGACCTCATCTCTACAATAAATCAAAAAATGAGCCGGGCGTGGTAGCACACGCCTGTAGTTCCAGCTACTTGGGAGGCTGAGTGGAAGGATCGCCGGAGCCCAGCAGGTCGAGGCTGCGGTGGCCGGGAGCGGCCACTGCACTCCAGTCTGGGCGACAGAGAGAGACTCCAACTCAAAAAAAAAAGTATAGGGAACACACTCCTGGGCGGCTGATAGGGTTATGAGCTAATACTGGTCTACCCAGGGACCAAAGGGAAGGTTAGAAATCTATACTGCAGTAAATCACAATCTTGTGGGTTGAGTATGAGGCATGTTTCATGGCTAGTGCTGGGTTTGTAGAAATTTATCTAAATTTAATAAAATAGATTGTTAAATCTTCTCGCCAGGGAGGTTTAATGGACAAAACAAGATCTGGTGGGAGACTTGAGTACAGTATTTTTATTTTAAAGAAAGTATTTGTTCCTTTTTATGGCTGAAGAATTAAAAAAAAAAAAAAAAGAGGCCTGGTGGGGTGGCTCATGCCTATAATCCCAGCACTTTGGGAGGCCAAGGCAAAAGGATTGCCTGCGCCCATGGGTTCAAGACCTGCCTGGGCAATTTGGTGAGACCTCGTCTCTACAATAAATCAAAAAATTAGCTGGGCATGGTGGCATGCGCCTGTAGTCCCAGTTACTCAGGAGAGTGAGGTGGAAGGATCACCTGAGCCCAGCAGGTCGAGGCTGCAATGGCTGTGAGTGTGTCACTGCACTCCAGCCTGGGCAACAGAATGAGACTCTGATCAAAAAAAAAAAAAAAAAGGGTTAACGCCCAGGTGCAGTGGCAAGTGTATACAGTCACAGCTGTTCAGGAGGCTGAGGCATGAGGACTACTTAATCCTAGGAGAGGAGTTCATGGCCAGCCTGGCCAGCCAACATAGCAAGACCCTGTCTCTAAAAAGTTAACAAAAACATAAAAAAGCTAGGCCAAGATGGCTCATACCTATAATCCCAGCACTTCGGGAGGCCAAGGCAGGAAAATCACTTGAGCCTAGGAATTTGACGCTACAGTGAGTTATGGTCATGCCACTGCATTCCAACTTGGGCAACAGAGTAAGAAGTAATCTCCAAAAAAAAAAGGACTAAACTTGAATAGACACATCTCCAAAGAAGACATACAAATGGCCAATAGGTTCAATGTTCAATGTCACTAATCATCAGGAAAATGTAAATCAAGACCACAATAAGATATCATTTCATACCAGTTCTGATGGTTATTAACAAAAACACAAGATGGCCAGGTGTGGTGTCTCATGCCTGTAATCCCAGCACTTTGGGAGGCAAAGGCAAGAAGATTGCCCGAGCCCAGGAGTTCTACACTTACCTAGGCAACTTGGCAAGACCTCATCTCTACAATAAAAAAAATTAAAATAAATAAAGTACAAAAAAAAATTAAAAATTAACTGGTGTAGTGGCACACACTTGTGGTTCCAGCTACCTGAAAGGCTGAGAGGGAAGGATCACCTAAGCCCAGCAGGTCAAGGCTGTGGTGACCATGAGAGTGCCACTGGATTCCAGCCTAGACGAAAGAGACCTCAACTCAAAAAACAACAGCCGCGTGCAGTGGCTCATTCCTGTAATCCTTGTGAGAGGACTGCCTGAGTCCAGGGGTTCGAGACCAGCCTGTGCAACTTGGCAAGACTGTGCTTCTACAATAAGTCAAAAGATCAGCCGAGCATGGTGGTGCATGCCTATGATTCTAGCTACTTGGAAGGCTGAGGCAGAAGGATCACCTGAGACTAGCAGGTCGAGGCTGCGGTGGCCGTGAGCGTTGCCACTGCACTCCAGCCTGGGTGACAGAGTGAGACTCCTACACAAAACAATAACAACAAAAACAAAAGATAACAAGTGTTGGTGAGGATGTGGAGAAACTGGAACCCTTTTATACTTTTGGTGAGAATGCAAAATGGTGCAGCCACTGTGGAAAACAGTATGGAGATTCCTCAAAAATTTAAAAATATAACTATGATCCAGCAATCCTACTTTTGGGTATTTCTCCAAAAGAATTGAAATCAGGCAGCAGACTGCAGACATTCTTGCTATTGTCCTGCCCTTGATGTCCATCACAATGTATCTTTCCTTTAACAAGTCTACTTTTCTTAGTTCAAAAAAAAAAAAAAAAAAAAAAAGGAAATAATAAGCCAAAGAGATATTAGCATTTCCATGTTCATGGCAGCACTATTCACAATAGCTAAGATGTGGAAACAACCTAAATGTCCACTGACAGATGAATAGATAAAGAAAATGTGGTCTATACATGTGGTAGAATATTATTCAGTCCTAAAAAAGAAAATCCTGCAACATGCAACATCATGGATGAATACCATGTTAAGTGAGATAATCCAGTCACAGAAGGACAGATATTACATGATTCCACTTACACAAGGTATCTAAAATAGTCAAACCAATGGAAGCAGAAAGTAGAATGGTGGTTGCCAGGGGCCAGTGGTGAGGAAATGGGGAGCTGCTAATCAATGTTTCAAAGTTTCAGTTATGCAAAATGAGTATGTTCTAGACATCTGCTGTACAACACTGTGCCTACAGTTAACAATACTGTATTAAAAACCTATTAAGAAGGTATATCTCATATTAAATGTTCTTACCACAATAAATAAAAATTTTTTAAATGAAAAGGTGATATGAAAAAAAAGTCTGGCGTCACATGATGCAGGCTCCGAGAGATAGTCTGTTGTGTATGTAGAGGGAATGATTTGAATTATTTATTCATTCTCTTAAGCCTGTAGCAATTTACATTGGACTTATTTAACTTAACTCATTGTGTCACAACAACCATAATCAAGAAGAAGGCCGACTAGGAATCTTCCCTTTACTGTGTCTTTTTTTGAACTTGTTCAATAGACTAATCTAGATTTCTAAGTACAGTACAACAGGTAAACCAGCACAATCGCAGAGTCTCTCCAAAGTAAGAAGAGCTTCCACTCTCACAGCTTTTTAAAAGTTCTCAATACCAAGTAATAAACTATCAGTTCACTGAAAAGAGTAAAGTCACACTCTTGGTCTATGCCTAACTTCAATTTCTTTCACCTAAGGAGGTAGATCCAGAAGAAAGCCTGAGATTGACCCAGTACTCACCTGTATTGGAAGCGGAGCTTCTGAACAATAGCCTTCATCTTGTCTACCTGCTCTGGGTTTGCTACGACTTTTTCAGGAAAGGGTACCTTCCGTTTATCATCAGCATAAGGTAGGAAGACAAGCTGGAAGCCTGAAGAAGGGAGATACATTTTCTGAGATTTGACTTAAAGTGTTGCAGACATTTGTTTTTCAGTCCCAAATTCACCCTTCTACATTCTGTGATGCTGGGACTGGGGTCCTCCACACTCCAATTCTCCTTTACCAATGTTCCTGTTAGTATATGCCTAACAAACACTCTGGAGTCTCCAGGGGACTACAAGGCATAAGGGGTGCCCCTTTCTGTATACAGTGGACCCCTTAGCCTTTAGGGATACATTCCATGACCCCCAGATAGTACTGAATCTACTGCCATCGATTAGCACATGTTTCTGTCCATGTCTTCTACCCACACATTTAATGCCTTTCCCTTCTTAACTATGCATTTACCACATGCTGTGGATGTAACTTTTGTAGTATAACATACAACAGCAAAACTAGCATGAATTTCTTTTTCCTTCTTCACAATTTCAAGCAGAAGATTCATTTTTACCACATATCTTAGCAACCTCAGCATATGGTATTTCTTTTCTTTCTTGAAGTTGAGAATATTTACCTTTTCACTTAAAGGAAGCACTTTCTGGCTTCTCTTTGGCATACCTGAATTGCCAGAATCACTACTCTTATGCTTTGGGCCATTATTAAGTGACATAAGGGGGACTTGAGCACAACTGCAAGACCAATACCTCAACAGTTGATCTGATAACCAAGACAGCTACTAAGCGACTAATGAGTAGGTAGCATCTATAGTACTGTGACGCTGAACAAAGGGACGATTCATATCTTAGGTATGACATTCTTATAAATCGTTTATTTGTGGAATTTTCCATTTAATATTTTTGGATCCATGGTTGACTGTGGAAAGCAAAACCAAGGATTGAGAGGGCCTACTGTATTTACTGTTCCTGTTCGTATTGCTCTGCAAGGACCCTTTATTGGCAGAACCAGTTAGTTCCAGTCTCCAGCTTTTTTTTTTTTTTTTCCTTGAGACGGAGTCCCACTCTGTCACCCAGGTTGGAGTGCAATGGCCCACTTATGGCCACCACAGTCTTGACCTCTGTTAGCAACTGCAGCAGCACTGTACTATATTTCTGAAAATCAATGAGACTTATAACAGGCTGGCCTTGAAAACATTCAACAGCACCCTGAGTAGCCCCTTGAAGGAACCACATGGACACATCCTTGAAAGCACAGTTACTCTCTCTGCCTTTTTGGTTGTGGGCAATTATTTTTCTTTTTCTTTCTTTTTTTTTTTTTTTGAGTTGGAGTCTTACTCTGTCACCTAGGAGGGAGTGCCGTGGCACACTCATGGTAATTCCAGTGTCGACCTGCTGGGCTCCAGTGATTCTTCCACCTCAGCCTTCCAAGTAGCAGCAACTACAGGTATGCGCTACCATGCCCAGCTAATTTTTTTTTATTGTAGAGATGAAGTCTCACCCAATTTCCCAGGCTGGTTTCAAACACGCGGGGCTCAGGCAATACACTCACTCGGCCTCCCAAAATGCTAGGATTACAGGCTGAGCCACTGAGCTTAGCCGACAATTATTTTTCTAATACCTTACTTACAGATGTTTTTGTTCCTCTACTCTTGTACAAGAGCTGCTCCCAAAACCGTGGGCTACTATATTACCTCTATAAGCTTGGCAGTTATTTGCAACTGCCACCAGGCATTTGTCAAGGATTCTTTTTGTTGTTGTTGTTGTTTTTTTGAGTTGGAGTCTCACTCTGTCACCCAGACTGGAGTGCAGTGGCTGCTCCCGGCCACTGCAATCTCAACCTGCTGGGCTCCGGCGATCCTTCTGCCTCAGCCTTCCAAGTAGCTGGAACTACAGGTGCACGCTACCACGCCCAGCTAATTTTTGAGTTATTGTAGAGATGAGGTCTTGCCAAGTTGCCCAGTTGGGTCTCGAACCCGCAGGCTCAGGCAATCCACTCACCTCGGCCTCCCAAAGTGCTGGGATTACAGGCTGAGTCACCGATCCCAGTCACCGATCCCGGTTGTTGTCAAGGATTCTAATCAGATCAGCAGACTATAACTAACTGACACATAAGATCAGTCACTGTTTTTTCTCTATGTTTACAAAACTGACAGTACTATATGGAATCTGATCACAAGACTGCACTTCCTTCACAAATCTCAGAAAGCTGTGATGGGGCAGAGGTTTTTTTAAAAAATGTGACGAGGGCCAGGCGTGGTGGCTGACACCTATAATCCCAGCACTTTGGGAGGCTGAGGTGAGAGGATTGCCTGAGTCCAGGGGTTCAAGACCAGCCTGGGCAACTTGGTGAGACCTCATCTCTACAATAAATCAAGAAAAATTAGCCAAGCATGGTGGCGCATGCCTGTAGTTCCAGCTACTTAGAAGACTGAAGCAGAAGGATTGCCTGAGCCCAGCAGGTCAAGGCTATGGTGGCCATGAGAGTGCTACTGCACTCCAGCCTGGGTGACAGAGTGAGACTCCAACTCAAAAAAAATCAAAAATCAACAACAAAAAAATGTGACTAGGAGGCTACTTTTATCTGAATAACAATGAATTTTTAGGTAAAGCCTGAGATACAGTACTACAAAGTCATGTTGATGACTTCAGATTTCGGAAATGTTGTGTCACTTGCATTCTTTAGAAACTAAACATCTGAGCTGGGCTTGGTGGCTCAGCCTGTAATCCCACGCTTTGGGAGGCTGAGGTGAGTGGATTGCCTGAGCCCGCGGGTTCGAGACCTGCCTGGGTAACTTGGCGAGACCGCATCTCTACAATAAATCAAAAATTAGCCGGGCATGGTAGCACACGCCTGTAGTTCCAGCTACTTGGAAGGCTGAGGCAGAAGGATTGCTGGAGCCCAGCAGGTCAAGGCTGCAGTGGCCAGGAGCGGCCACTGTACTCCAGTCTGGGCAACAGAGTGAGACTCCCACTCAAAAAAAAAAAAAGAAACTAAACATCTGAACTTCATTTTTCTTTTTTTTTTTTGAGTTGGTCTTACTCTGTCGCCCTGGCTGGTGTGCAGTGGCACACTCACAGCCACCACAGCCTCAATCTGCTGAGCTCAGGTAGCCCTTCCAACTCAGTCTTCCAAGTAGCTGCAACTACAGGCATGCACAACACCCAGCTAATTTTTTAAATTTATTGTACAGATGAGGTCTTGCCAAGTTGCCCAGGCTGGTCTCAAACCTCTGGACTCAGGCAACCCTCTCACCTCCCAAAGTGCTGGGATTATAAGCATGAGCCACCTCACCCAGCTGAACTTCATATTTCTATTCTATTGTGCAACATAGTGATGATTCCGAAACTTTTCCTTTGGGGAAAAAAAAGGAATATGAACATTTCCATTGTGTTAAGTATAAAAAGTCCAGACATGGTCATAAAATTTATATGTTATACAATTAAAGAAAAACAGGTCACGTGCGGTGGCTCAGCCTGTAATCCCAGCACTTTGGGAGGCTGAGGCAAGAGGATCGTCTGAGCATAGGGGTTCAAGACCAGCCTGAGGAACTTGGTGAGACCACGTCTCTACAATAAATCAACAAATTAGCCGGAAGTGGTGGTGCGTGCCTGTAGTTCAGCTACTTGGAAGGCTGAGGCAGAAGGATCATCTGAGTCTAGCAGGTAGAGGTTGCGTTGGCTGTGAGTATGCCACTGCACTTCAGCCTGGCAACAGAATGAGACTCTGACCTCTGACTCAAAAAAAAAAAAAAGAAACAACTTTGAGAAAAAGGTGTTCCAGAATTCCCATCTTGTAGATAAGGAATATAAAAAGAAATGTTAAATTATTTGCCCAACCTGATGGGCCTAAAATGAAGGAAAGCAGTCAGCCGGGCTGGTGGCTCATGCCTGTAATTCCAGTGCTTTAGAAGGCTGAGGTGGGAGGACCACTGAGGCCAGGAGTTCCAAATCAGCCTGGCCAACATAGCAAGACCCCGATCCTACAAAAATAAATAAATAAGATTAAAAAAGAAAAAGCAAGCTTCCAGACACATAAGTATAAGATAAAGTCTGACTTCAAAATCTAGTCTTTCTATTGTACCTCAGTGCCTCTGCAAACCCCACTCTTGGTTTATACAGGAGACAAACTAAACATTATACACTAACAGAGAGACAAACAATGGCATTCAGTAAAGAAAAGTATCAGCCGGGCTCGGTGGTTCAGCCTGTAATCCCGCGCCTTTGGGAGGCTGAGGTGAGTAGATTGCCTGAGCCCGCAGGTTCGAGACCCGCCTGGGCAGCAAGACCTCATCTCTACAATAAATCAAAAAATCAGCCGGGCATGGTAGCGCATGCCTGTAATTCCAGCTACTCGGAAGGCAGAGGCGGAAGGATCGCCGGAGCCCAGCAGGTCGAGGCTGTGGTGGCCGGGAGCAGCCACTGCACTCCAGTCTGGGCGACAGAGTGAGACTCCAACTCAAAAAAAAAGAAGTGTCAGCAGTGAGACCCAATAAATAAATTTGTGTCAATAACCCACAAACAGTCCCTAAGCAGACAATTCTCAACCCAGGCTGCAGATCTGCCTTGTACAACCATATTTGGCGCCCTTACCTGACTGCACCAAATTCACCCAAGAAACCTTAAAAAATACACATTACCCAGGCCCCATTCCCAAAGACTATGGATCAGCAGATCTGAGTCCCATGAATGATTACAAAGCATGAGCAATGTTCAGAAGCCCTGGAAATAAATGCCACATACCTGGAGGAGTCACTTGAACTTTCTGGTCATCCAATTCCTCTTCCTGTGCCACCAAAGCCACAAAATAAGGGGGAATGTTCTTGCGGGGTGTGTATCTGCACACGGCCATGACCTTCTTCTCCAGACACTTGGTGAGTAGAGCATTGAACAGGGTTGAGCTCCCTAGAAAACAAATATCTTAATGGCCTATATCCTAAAGAGAGGACTCTTCCTTTCTTCCCTCTTAGCCCTGCAACTTTTCTTCCATTTCTTTTTTTTTTTAATTAACTGAATTTTTTTTTTTTTTTTTTTTTGAGTTGGAGTCTCACTCTGTCACCCAG